TCGATGGTAGCGACCTCTAAATGTCATTCAATTCGTTTGTTTTTGGGGGCATTTGAACCCAAATTTAATTTGGAACATTGTAAAGACGTGCGTCCATAAATATTTGGATGATGCCTTTTTTGAAGCACCCTAATATATATATAAACAATTATTTATGTTCGATAATTAGCTAAAATATGTTTCCTTGTAAACAGAGTGGAGGTTTATTCATTTTTATCAATTATCATTTACATTATTATACATAAAACTATGTTCAACATTTCGTTCTTCCCTGTTACCAGAAACGACAATTCAAGCCTACTACTACTACTACTACTACTACTACTACTACTACTACTACTACTACTACTACTACTACCTCCGCTTCTCTATTTACACGACTTACTTACAATATATCTCTTATACATTTTCAATCTATACTCGTGCGTATCTAAATTTCTTCCAACAATCGTACCACTCATTCCGTCTAGCGGCCCTTAGTCGAACCATGCGTCAAGGGTGGGAAGCACTGCATCTTCAAATTAAAGAAAATATATTTTCTTTACATCTCCCCCCTCAGAGTGAGACTTATTAGGGTACTGTGATGTCGGGTGTATTTTTTATTCTTCTTTTTTTGTGTCTCCCTCATCTATTGGTATGAGTTTTGATATATGGAATAAACTTGTTTCTGACTTTCTATTTGTCTTGATTTTGTATAGGGAGTTTATTATTTCAAACGGTCCAACTCTCAAATAGTCAAGCTTTTTCCTATTCAGTCTGTTTCCAATTCAGTCGTTTTTGAGAGTTGGAAAATTCTGAATTGAGATTAGATTATCTTTGATTGGTTTTACTGGGTTGTTTTCTGTAATGTGCCCTAAGTATTTTACTGAGTTAGAAGCGAATGAGCATTTTTTGAATTTTCATCTAAATCCTTCTTGTATGATTGCTTCTAAAACCTTCTCTATATGCCTGATGTTATCTTCAAACGTTGGTGAATCAATCAATATATCGTCAATATAATTTTCTGTTAATTCTTTTAATTTATGTTTCTTTAATATGCTACTCAGAATCCTTTAGGATATTTCTGGAGACGTTTTCAATCCAAATGGTAAACACGTCCATTGATAGTGTCTTTCTTGCTTTACGAAACCAGTTTTGTTTTGTCCTCGATGCGGAGTGGAATTGACCAAATGGCACAGTTGATATCCAGTACTGCAAAATATTTGCAGTTTCTAGTTTTATCAGGTCACCTATAAGGGGAAATAGTTTAGATTTACTTCTATGACTGAGTTGCTTGCTATCGGGCTACTTAAATTTCTTTCGTCTCAAACTACTCTCTATCTATGTCTCTATTTATGTTCTTTCAGTTTTGCAAAACTACTTTGATTCACTAAATATTCACATTTTCTGATTTCAGCAGTAGCTTTAACAGTAGCAATAACTTTTCTTTCTTCATAGCATATTCAATCAATGAACCTTCTTCATAATATAATATATAATATATAGCATACATATCTGTATACCATCCTTTGTCTGCAAAGGATTCAAAAATCTCTCTTTCCATTGAGACCATTCAGCTTCTACTATCAATATTGTGAGAGTTGCTGAACGTCAATCTAAACATGACTTGTCCAGGAATAGTCTCAAAATCTCAATCATTGTACTACCTTCATTAATGTAATATCTTTTACATTCTTTTTCAAATGTATTGGTTCGCATTTGAATGTTTAGATGTAATTTTTTCAATAATAAACTTATCTGTTATTTGTTTTAAATAAGTTGACTTTCCTTTTTCTCGGTGGATTCTACTACTTCTGTTTTTATTATTTGTGCTAAATACAAGTCATTAAACATTTTATTACCTTCTTCATCCATGTATGTTTGTGCCATTGCTTTTGTTAGTTTGATCCATACTGTTCTATTTTGACCTCGTTGAGTGAAACTATTTTTCACCCTTTTAAAAACATCCGTCTTCATCAGTTCTGGATGTTCAGTTACAAACCTTATTTCTTATGGCAACACATATTGCTTGTTATCCTCTGTTATAATTGAGGTTATGGCAGGAAGACTCGTCTTTTTGTTCTTCAACAATGGCATATTGGAAT